AATGTACGGGTTTGACGGGAGTAGATGCTGAGAGGTTGTATCTCCCTTGTGAGAGAGTCAAGGTCCGGAAGCTATCATCTTGAGAATGGAATTGCACAGTGGCTAGTGAATCAGTGGAATTCTTTACCACCAGAGGCTGGGTCATTATGTACATTCAAGGCTGAGATAAACAGATTTGGAGGGATAAGGCAGGAAAGTGAGGTTGAAGACTTGCAGATCAGCGCAATCTCACTGAATGGTGGAGCAGATTCGATGGGCTGAATAGCCCTGCTTATTGCTCTTTTGTGTCACGTTCTTGTACATTCTTGGCCTGTCGCCTCAATAGAGGACTGGTTGTAGAGAAATTGTTTTTTTCCTTGCTGTCGTGCTGGGATTTAGGATGCTGGCTGGGTGTGTAGGCTAGGAGCAGTGACTGTGACCCAGGCTGATCAATGCTGATCCCTGACAAATTGGCTGCAGAGATCTCCAGCCTCGAGTCGACACCGTGAGGTTTAACAAGATGGGGTTTAGCCACCAACCTTTTACTAATTGTTATTCTCATCAGTATGAGTGTGTCATCCCCTCTGACCCTATTGTACTTGTCTCTTATAACAAAGGAACATTGCACCTTTGTGACTTTATACAGGGTTCTAATTTGTACCCACTGAAAACACCCATCTACACGAGATAGAACCGGGTCCTGTTGGAGCCAACTGATTAGATTCCCAGAAGCGATTCCAAGATGCTTTGGAAACACTTGACCAAGAATCTTTTCTGAGTTGAATTGACCCCCAAGTCCAAGAGATTAGCTCGTCTGTTGTTATCTGGCTGTAGACTGCAGATCTGTGTCTCTTCTTGATGAGGCTGTAATTAGCTTCAGTGAGTGTAATGCAGTGAGCTGGTGTGGTAACTAGTAGAGTGTTAATAATGGGTTTTTTAACCACGTGGGCTGTGCTGTGAGAGACCAGAGTGATTTCACACCCTGCAGAATGTAGTAGAGTCTATCTCCAGCACAGCAAGGCCAGGAGGGTGAGGGGGCCCGTGCTTAGGGCTTGGGGAAAGGACATTTAGCAGAGTACAGGCATATGGCTCGATGAATGGCCAGTGACCAGAAACATTTACTCTTTTCTTAAATTTTTTCATGGGATGACAGTGTCACTGGCTAGGCCAGCGTTTATTACCCATCCCTAATTGACAAGAGGGCTGTTTGAGGGTCAACCACATCACTGTGGGTTTGGAGTCACATGTAGGCCAGACCAGGTAAGGATGGCTGATTTCCTTCCCGAAAGGGCATTAGCTTCAGTAGACTGCTTAGTGAGCTGGATGGGTTTTCCCAACAATCTGACACATGGTCATCCTTAGACTCTTAATTCCAGATATATATTTGCTGTGACGGGATTTGAACCCCAGGTTCCCCGGGACGTTACCTGGGTATATGGATTAATAGTCTCTCGATAATCCCGCTAGGCCATCACCTCTCCCTCCACAGATGCTGCCAGACCAGCTGAGTGTTTCCAGCATTTTCTGTATTTAATTGCAGGAAGGGTGCGACTTTTTAAACTGAGCACAAAACCAGCTGCATCTGATTTTATTCTGCTTTCCAGATTTCCACCTCCTTAGAGGGTGCAGAAATGACTGTGTGTGTCTTTTTCCCTGCCCTGAGATTGATGAATCCACCACCAGAGGTTTTGTGCTCCAATGGCCTCCAGTCCTAATGACAGGGCTCCTTCTGATTGAATAATAAAGTGCCCCAAGCGGTACACAGCTCATCATCATAAGGCCTGGTGAGCTGGATATCAGTGCCACGCTGAGGGAGCGCTACACTGTCAGGACACCATCTTCCAACACCCCTACCTGGCTGTTGAGGTGAACATTATGACATCCTGCGGCAGTAATCCATGCTGAGCGGGCGACTTCTCCCAATGTATTGGCCCTCGGTATACATTGCGAAAAGCAATTATTAACACAGGGAGGTGGTACAGACAGCAGTGACATCCCTTTGATAACTACAACATTGTTGTAAAGCAAGGCTTCTTCTGTGAATGTGCTAGGTGCTATGTAACTGCAAGTTTGGTTGCTTTCCTCACAATTGTTTCTGAAGCCTCGGACTCTTCAGGAATGCTTTTCTTCGTCACTGGGAGTTGGAGGCTCTACAGGACCTCACCCCGGGGAACGGTGTTAACGGGCTGTTTGAATTGAGCTGGGATGGCCCACTGTGAAGGTCCCAACCTAGCCTCAAATCTGAATTGTTTGTCTCTTACCAGTGGCTCAGTCACCCAGTGACCAGGGTCTGTAACCCATTCAAAACCCGTAGCGTTTAAGTCTGAGATGAGGAGGAATTTTTTCTCTCGGAAAGTTGACAGTCTTTGGAACTCCTTGCCACAGAAGCTGTGGGGGGCAGAGTCCTTGTGTATATTTAAGGCTGAGATAGATAGATCCTTGATCAGTAAGAGAAATCAAGGGTTACGGGGAAAGGGCAGGAGAGTGGATGTGAGGAATCTCGAATCAACCACGATCTTAATAAATGGTGGAGCAGCTTTGATGCTGAATGGCCTACTCCTGTTCCTATTTCTTATGATCTTTGGATCTAACACCATCCCTCCATCACAAGCTATTCATGGTGTAGGAGGGTTTCTATCTCTATGGAAACCACCGACGCTAACTCGATGTGGAATAGGATTAATCCACACCAAGGACATGTATTAATAGACAGGATTTATTTTAATGTTCTGGGCCTTCTGTCCTCATCAGAGTATAGCCCAGGCGATCAGTGCAGAGATTCCCATCTTATCCACAGATACTGAGTACATTTCGTTCCTTAAGCAGCTGGTCCTTGGATTGAATCGTTTTATTTCTGGTTAGTGGGACAATTGAACAATGGCTGTCTGGAAGAATGGGAAAATGCTGCATTAAAATTGTAGCTCCTCCCATTCCAACAATGCCCTGTTTTAGATGTTCATGAGCTGGTGTTTCATTGACAATCAAACTGTACAGAGTGAGGCTCTGTTAATGTGTGATGGTGTTGATATCTTGGTCCAGAGGTAGGGACACTACCACTGTGCCACAAGAGCCCTCTGTGAGTGATGATGCATACAGCCAGTAAAATCAACTGACTTAAGCACAGTGGTATGATTGTAATTATTATATATAGATTCATTATTACACAGAAGGAAGCCATTCTGCCCATTAAATCCCTGCTGACATTTGATTAACTAATAGGTCCCAGTACCCTCTTCCACCTCCCCTTTTCCCTCAAGTCTATTTTCCTTTTGAATTCAGCTTCCCTTTGGAATCCTTTGTTATTTCCAATGCCCTCACTGACACCAAGTTCCAGGTCTTCCACACTCATCGCATTACAAGGTTTTCCTTTATAACCTCCCTCCCCTGCACTCTCAGCCAAATCCTTTTAAGGTGTGTTCCCCCTTGTTCTTGTACCATCAGCTAGTGGAACAGTGTGCGCGCACACACACACACACAACCCCCCATCTCCTTTGCTCCAAGGAGATCAACCCCAGTTTCTCCAAAGCTACTAGAAGAGCAGTCAGCGTAGATGCTGCCTGGCCTGCTGTGTTCTTCCAGCTTCCTGTTTGTCTACCTTGAATTCCAGCATCTGCAGTTTTTTCTGTCTCTAACTTTTGTTACTAAACTTCCTCTTCTGTGGAACTATTCTAGTAAATCGCCTTTGCACCCTTGCGAGAGTCCTCACTTGGTGTGTGTTGACCGTAGCTAGGACTCCATCACCTAGTTATGGCCTAACTAGAGCTTTGTTCAGGTTCAGCATGACTCCACTATTGTTATGCGCATATCTTTATTCATGAAGCCCCGGGGACCATTTAGTGGCCTGCCACCTTCACATGATAGTAGATAATAGGAGCAGGAGCAGGCCATTCGGCCAGTGAGATCGTGGTTAACCCGATTGCAACCCTAATGCCCCCTTCATGGCTAACCCCCCCACTCCCGTGTCCCATAACCCTCAACTCCATTGAGAATCTAAGATCGCTCAATCTCAGCCACAATCAGATTCTGTGATCCAGGCTGCACTCCTCTCCCTCTGGAAGAGAATTCCAAAAACTAATGACCCTCCGGGAGGAAATTCCAAAGTCTGTACCGAAGAAACCCCAGGCCCCTGTGACCCTGCACGCTCATTGTCTTTAAACAGGGCAGCTCTTTTTATTCACTCATGGGACATGGGCATCACTGGCTGGCCAGCATTTATTGCCCATCCCTGCATGCCCATGAGAAGGTGGTGGTGAGCTGCCTTCTTGAACCGCTGCAACTCTATTTAGGCCCACAGTGCTGTTGGGGAGGGAGCTGTGGGATCTTGATCCTGGCTGGGCCAGCATTTATTGCCCGTCCCTAATTGCCCTTGACAAGGTGGAAGTGAGCTGCCCTCTTGAACCGCTGCAGTCCATGTGCTGTAGGTTGACCCACAATGCCCTGAGAGAGGGAATTTTTGGAGTTTGACACTGAACTCGCAGCAATATATTTTCAAATTGGCTTGGAGGGGCATTTGCAGAAAGTGTGAGAACATTAGAATTACATTGCATGCTTCCTATCTCAGTCAATGGATGCGTGTGATGAGGGGGTTGGGTCTCAGGAGGGAAAACAGAAAGGGAATCGAGCCCTTTCTGATAGTTGGCTTATTTTGTGTTGCAGAGTTGAAGGGTTGCAGAGTCTAAATGGGGTCTGTGCAGGAGACTGGATCAGTTTGCACTTTGAGAAGGCTAGCAGCATGTTTGTAACCAGTGCCTGTAGCTATATCGGGATTGTCATTCTCGACATTTGGAGAGCACCAGACCATCACAGGGTGTCACTACCATCCAACAGCTTTGTAAATCCGATTTGCTCCAGGAATCCCTGTGAGCATACAGCCGTCTCTCTCCGTCTCCCTCTCTCTCTCTCTCCCTCACTCTCGTTTCATCTTCACAGTTATATATTCAGCTATTATCTATTATCACCTTACTGTTCCTATCTAGTCTAATCAGTACTCAAGTGTTTTTTTTCCCAATCTTGTCTTACAGTGGGGGACAATGGATCTGAAGAGAAAGGAGACCTGGGTCAGACATCTCCAGCTAAACTGACAGGATTGGTTGATGACAGTAGAACCCAAGAAGACGATGATGCTGAGATCGAGTCCAAAACTCAAACAGAAAATGGAGGTAATTCAGTTGTAACTGTGCACACTTCCGGTGATTGTTCCATCACTGAAGGGAGAGGCTGCTTACCTCCTTTTACAGTTTTTAGCAGTGGGTTTGAGACCCTTTAATAAGAGTTCTGCTCCTTTGAGGTATCCACAGTGAGGTGGTGATTGGGAGTAAGGGAGAAGGAGGGGGGCGCGGTGTGTGGAGAGGGCATGTAAGTGCTTTTCTGAATTCTCTGCCGGAAGAATGTGGAGGCCAAATCAAAGATGAGATTTAATTGAGAGTTAAATTTTAAAGGTATCAAAGAGTATGAGGAGTAAGCAGGAATATGGAATTGAGACAGAGGATCAGCAATGACCATACTGAATGGCGGAGCAAGCTCAAAGGGCCGAATGGCCTAACTACTGTCTTACTTGCTATGTTTCTATGCTTTTGGTAGGTGACTTGCCCACCCAACCAGCAACTGAGGCCCTGAAGTCCAATGTAGGATCAGTAGAGAGCCTTGTTGTCACTGGGATTAACTTAACCCCATCGATGAATCTCACTGGACAGTTCAAGCTGTGTGGGCCACTGTACCTCAGGGGGAGATGGGCCTCGATCAAAGGCGATCAGTACCCGATTGAATGGATATCGGGGAGTTTATTGGGCACTGAATGGGTGGGGGGTCCTGCACTGTCATCAAGAAAGGTGGGGTTGGGGGTGTCCTTCCAGCGGCGGCCACAATGTCTTCAGTAGCGCTGCTGAGCGCAGGAGCAGCCAACCTTCTAAGGCCTTGGTTCCTGGATACGTCCTGCCAGTTGCCTTGGCATGGCCTGTTTGCCTCTTGCTTTGATGGCCCTTTCTGAAAAGCGCCCGAGTGGGTACCTCACTGGTTCTCCAGGCAGCGGGCAAGACCCCATTGCCACAGGACTCCACTTTACATCACTGCTCCTTCATTGTCACCGGGTCAAAATCCTTCCCTAACACCTCCGTCACTCTACCACACAGACTCCCAATAACAGTTAGCTGCCACAAAGGAGTAAAAACAAAACCTGACATAAAACCTGAAACTACTGGAAATACTAAAGCAGGTCAGGCAGCATCTGTAATTAATATAATAATCTACAATAAACACACCCACAGTTAATGCGCATTTAATGAGGGAGGAAGAGAGTTAGAGATTCAGACCAATGACTGAGTTCATCTCTCAGCAATTGGAGACAGTGGTAATGTTACTGTGTCAGTTTGTTTTTCTTTCCTGGGATTTTTAAAAATTCATCACATGAGGGTGTCGCTGTTTACACCAGCATTTATTGCCCATCCCTAATTTCCCGGAAGGCAGTTAAAAGTCAGCCACATTGCTGTGGGTCGAGTCAGGTAACAATGGCAGATTTCCTTTCCTGAAAAACAGTCGTAAACCAGAAGGGTTCTTCCGACAATCATCGTTCGTCTCTTAGTTCCAAATAATGTTTTATTGAAATGGAATTTGAACCCAGGGCCTCTGGATTAATTTTATTGAAATTGAATTTGAACCTGGGCCTCCGGATGAATAGTACAGCGTTAATACCAGTAGGCTATCACCTCCATAAGCATCTTGGCCAGGCCAGCATTTGTTGCCTGCCCCTATTCGCCCTGAATGGCTCAGTTATTAACAGTCTAGTTATCCAGAGACTAATGCTCTGTGCGCAAACCCCACCCATCGCTGCCGTGGGAATTTCAATGCAATGAATAATTCTGGGATTGAAAGCTGGGCTCGGCTTCAGTGTCGCCATTACCACTGGCAAGTTGTCCTTTAGCGAAGGAAACTGCCATCCTTACCTGGTATGGCCTACATGTGACTCCAGACCCACAGCAATGTGGTTGACGCTGAGCTGCCCTTTGCAATGGCTGAGCCGGACTCTCTTTTGAAAGGCAATTAGGGATGGGCAACAAATGCCGGTCTTGGGATCTGCCACAAGGATAAAGATAAAAAGAATGCTGCCTAACTTGCTGATCATGATCCGCATTTTTTTCGTTAAGTGTTTGTGATCGGAAGTGAGTCTTGTATTCTACGGAAGCTATTGTTTACTATCAGTGACAACAACAGAAATTGCTGGAGAAACGCAGCAGGTCTGGCAGCATCTGTGGAGAGAGAAAAACGGTGCCCCATATCCGTGCTTCCCAAACTTTTTCCCCCTGTGACCCTAGCTTTGAGGCTTTGTCATTCTTGTGAGGCCCTCAGTGAGATCTGAGAGAGGGGGGAGCTTGTTAAAGTGGGAGCCTTGCTGCTATATCTGGGTCAGAATACCACAGTGACCTTTGCTTCCTTGGACCCAGAATTTTGGGCCTCGACCCCCACTTTGAAGAGCCCTGCCTTATATCATTGGCCAGCCACCGTGTGGCCCCAGTAAGTGTGCAGCAAAAGTGGCCTGATTTCAAATGGAAACCCCACTCGAAGGAAACCTCACACTGGTCGTAATACAACTCTTGTGCAACACCCTCCTAACTCATCACCAAACCGTCGCGGCTGTTGCTACAGTCACCAGTGACGGCCTGTAATCATCAGTAGTTCTGGTCTTAAACAGATCAAAATGTTCTGTGCAAAATACAGCCCGTATTTGGAAGGTCAGAATCTAAAATTGTCCAACTGGATGTTCCTCTGAGCAGTGTGATTAAAAATAGTTCGGCAAAAGAAAGAGAGAATTGTCACGGCTACATATTCCCCAAACAATCCTGCTTCAGCTATCAATGTGGATTTCACAAGTTTCAAAATCTCCCCTCCCCCTACCGCATCCCAAAACCAGTCCAGCTCGTCCCTGCCTCCCTAACCTGTTCTTCCTCCCACCTATCCCCTCCTCCCACCTCAAGCCGCACCTCCATCTCCTACCTACTAACCTCATCCCGCCCCCTTGACCTGTCCGTCCTCCCTGGACTGACCTATCCCCTTCCTAACTCCCTACCTACACTCACCTTTACTGGCTCCATCCCCGCCTCTTTGACCTGTTTGTTTCCTCTCCACCTATCCTCTCCTCTATCCCTCTTCTATCCGCCTCCCACTCTCTCCCTATTTATTTCAGAACCCCCTTCCCCTCCCCCTTTTCTGAGGAAGGGTCTAGGCCCGAAACGTCAGCCTTTCTGCTCCTATGATGCTGCTTGGCCTGCTGTGTTCATCCAGCCCTGCACCTTGTTGTCTCAGCCATTAAGTTTGTGTTTGACCCTGAGCGTTGACCTATTGCCTATTGGCTGCTCTCTCCATGTCTGGGTTTCGGATGGGGGAGTCATCACCACCTATTGAGGGGCACGGCCCCTACCCGAGCAGGCTGGCGCATCCCAGGTAGCGTTGATAAAAGCCGTGTCTGTGAAAGTGTGTTTGTGTTGTGCTGCAGCAGGAGGTGAGACTGGGGTCACCGCCACCCAGGGGGCAGCAGTGATATTGCCAAACAATCCTGAAAGTGTCGACTTGTCTTCCGTGAAGTCCATGATGTCGACGGTGATGAACGTGGGCAATCTCAACGGGGACGCCAGCAACATGCCAAGCAACAGAAGCCCCTCGAAGCCTTCCGTACGAACGGGGAAAATCAAGCAGGTAGGCACCTGAGGGAAAGAATGAAACCTGACGAGGGGGGAGGTGTCACTCAACAGTGGTCACTTTGGTATTTGCACAGGACCTCCTTACTCCTTCATTTTGCCCCGGGATTTGTGAACCGTTGATGTGATTTTTCTCCTTGTCAGCCGTTACTCACGGATACCTTATTGGCCTGTGAGTCTCAAGTCTGTGGGCTCAAGTCTCCACAAGCGGAATCTCAGCTGTTCTTCCAGCACAGTACTGAGGATGTGCTGCACTGTCAGAGGTACCTGCTCTCAGATAAGATGCTCAGCTGGTTGCAGAAGACCCTGTGCTGCTTTTTCATAGAAGAGCAAGGGAGTTCTCCTCTGTACATAGGGCAATAATTAGTCAACATTACTAACACATTAACTGTCAGCAAACAAAAAAAACACATTACCTGGTGAACATTTTGCTGGCTGTGGAAATGTGCTGCATTTTTATCCTACGTTGCTACAGTGACTACAGAATTGTTAGGTACAGATGGAGGCCATTCAGCCCATTGTGTCAGCACCTTCAAAATTGCTGCATTGGCTGTAAATCTTTCTTGTGGCGTACTGAGCTCATGTAAGGTGCTATTTAAATATAGGTTTTCCTGGTTTCTGGTCCAAAACAATGTTTGATCATGTGTCTCCTGCTTCCTTTAAATGCACCAACTCTTTCCCCATTAGCGCATTCGCAAGCCCCTTCCAACTCAGTTGGTAGCTTGCCACTCGGGCTTCGAAAAAGTTTGGCTCGGTTTCATTTCTAGAGCCTCTGGTCAGTATCTAAATCTACACTAGGCCCTGGCATGTCCTGCTCTCGTAGCCCAGCAACTCCTGATACAAAAACTTGTTGCCATCAGCAACCTGGGAAGGACAGTTTGACAGGAACATGAGTTTGATTATCATGAGGACGAGTTTTATTCCATCCTAGGGGCCTGGACAACTTGAGGTTGATTATTGCCCATCAATCAGATCAGCCATGATCTCATTGAATGGCACAGCAGACTTGATGGGCTGAATGGCCTACTTCTTCTCCTAAGTTTTATGATCTTACAGTTCCTTGAAGCCAGACTCATGACATAAATACTAAAGAGCTCATCTCAAGTTCCCAATAAATTCAACTCAACTTATTAACATTCAGTTTGCAACCCATTTCTTAGTGCAGTGCTGTGTTCATGTCAGTAGACATCTTGTATTCAGGAGTGTGCCCAGTATCTGATTGGACACTGTTGTGATCCAGTGGTGTCGCGATATTGTGAATTAAGGCATGGTGGGGGATGGCTGGGTGGGGGCAGGGGGCCAGGGGGCGCAGAAATTGTCAAGGAAACAGACACGGGGTATCCTTGGGCAAGGTGCCAGTCAACCCACCATGAGTTGGCATCTTCAATGTAGGAACAGCAGCCAGGTAGGTACAACCTTGGCGTGGGAGCAAAGAGAGTGGCAATACTTTTACAGCTCTCCTTGTGCTCAAAGGGAGCAAGGATCTTTCCTCGTAGCCCCCGCTGTGCTTTTTCCAGCAACTTCCACCCCCTGCCCCGACCCCCCCCCAATCCCCCCACAACCCTCGTCAGCACGAGAGAAACTTAGCCCGAAAGCTCACCTCCTGAGGGTCTGGAGTTGATGCTTCACATTGTGCAGAGGAACCCCAAACTATCAGGACCCCTCCGCACTCCTGATGTGTCTGTCAAAATCCCCCCCACCCCTCTGCCATCACTCTCATGCATCTCAAATCATCGAAAGGGGACCTGAGTCTTTTGAATCAGACCAGGCCAGATACAGATTGTTTAAGCTGTTGTAGTTTTACACAGTGATTGTTGTTATCAAACCCTTGCCAACATTCAGTTAAACTGATGAACTTTTCCGCTGTAAACTCTTTACTAGACCTATCTCTGTAACCTCCTCCTCCAGCCCTCTGTGATATTTGTGCTTCTCTAATTCTGGTCTCCTGGTGTATTGCTGGACAGGGAGCCAGTGAGCACATTGGAGAATGGGACTTACTTTCTAGCCTCTGAGCTCCGGAATTTCCTTCCTGAACCTTTCCACTGTCTACATCTCCTTCCTCCTTACAGGTACTCCTTGTTCTTTGACCAAGCCTTTGGTCATCTGCTTTCTCCTGCAGCCCTCCTATGGTTTATAATGATCCTGTGAAACTCCTTGGGACATTTTTGTTACACTGTAGGAGCTATCTAAATATAGTTTCTTGTGGTGGATTGTAAATAGTTGAAGCTCCAGTGCTGATCCTTGCTGCATTTAATACGGCACATGACAATGGCCGCTTTATTCCTAGTTTCTGCTAACTTCCCATTAACCAGCCCTCGTTCCTGGTTATGTGTCTGGTTTGCCGAATGTACTCCCCTCTATCTGCCACACACACAAACATTTCCACCCCTGCTCTCTCGGTTCACCACCTCTCTCCACCCTCCAGTTCCTGAGAACTCCTTGCTCACGCTCACAATGGGCAGAAACAAGGTTGACTTGTGGGACTCAGTGGGCCCACCTCCTTCCTGTCGTGTACCCTCTCGATCACCTCTGATGAAGGGAACCCAGGCTGGTTTAACACAGCTGTATGGGTTGACCAGTCGGACACGCTGCACGACACACTGGCAGCTCTGTGTTCACCTCAGAGGCACTGGACTGAAGCCCCGTACCTAGTGAGGATTTGGCCACGTCTGAATTGGGCAGCAGGCTGTGTTGGTGGAATATCCCCACCCGGAGTGTAATGCAGATGGAGGTGGGAAAGTGTGGCGTTTGGACCGCCATCACTCTGCCTAATTAAATCTAGCTTCAGAGCAGAAGGTTCGGCCTGTGACTTGCTGTGCCAGCTTTCTTGGCGAATCCTGACTGTTGGCCTTCACTTTTGGAGGGCATTTGTGGGCGTCATAAGCCTGCGTGGAAGGCCGTGGCCTTTCGCTGCGCCACTTGGAGTAATGCGCGAGCGTTTTGCTTTCACAAGTGAGACGATGTGACCTTAGTCCTCCAAAATCTCTCATTCTCACATTGGAGTTATCGGTCTGAGATGTAGGAAGGGGACCATGAAGACAGCCACTCCACGCAAAAGGCTTCCAGAAGTTTCTGCCTCACACGGGCATTGGAAGTGCGTGCAGAGGAGCCGAGTATCACTGGGAATTTGGCTGCGGAAGAGCAGTCCTGTTGTTTTGACCTGTCCTTTCTGGGACCATCGGAGAATCGCTGCTGAGACCAACACTGGTCACTCACCCTTGATTGCCATTGTAAAGGGGCCTTGCTTGGCCACTTCAGAGTCAACGCCGTTGCTGTGGATCGGGAGTCATGTGTAGGCCAGACCGGGTAAGGACAGCAGATTTCTTTCTAAGTAGGATGGCTTTTTACAGCAATCGATGATGGTTGTCATGGTCACTGACGTACCAGGTTTATTAATTGAATTTAAATCCCATCATGCGGGCGCGATGGGTTTTGAACCTTTTGAACCTGGAGCATTGGGTCTGGCCCTATGAGCCATTGGAACGTTGAAAAAAGTTTCCATCTCTGAAGGGGCCTTAGCGGGGTTTTATGATGATTGGTGACTGTTGTCATCGTCATCATCACAGAGAGTAGTTGCATATTCCACGTTTTAAGAGTTGAAGTTAAATTTTGCCAGATGCCGTGGTGACATTTGAACCCATGCCCCGAGAGCTATCTGCTATGTGTCACTATCAAACCGATGGTGAGGTTTGAAGGGCCGTGACTCTCCATCACAGTCACCCTGAGACCTAACCTCGGGCTGAGGGGCCAGTGATGCTGCTATTGGATCCACATCCCACAACTTGGGGGAAGAAGAAAAACTCCGGCACGGCACTCGGTCGCCAGGATGCGGGAAAATCATAGAATCCCTACGGCCCATCGAGTCTGCACTGACAACCCCTCCCCCCGCCAAAGAACGTCCCACCCAGACCCACCCCATCCCTGTAACTCTGCATTTCCCATGGCTAACCCCACCTAACTGGCACATCTTTGGTCTGTGGGATGAAACCAGAGCACCCGGAGAAAACCCACACAGACACGGGGAGAACGTGCAAACTCCACACAGACAGTCGCCCAAGGGTGGAATCGAACCCGGGTCCCTGGTGCTGTGAGGCAGCAGTGCTAACCACTGAGCCACCATGCTGAGAAAGGGTGGAACTGATTTTGTTGAGGCTGTACTTGGCTTGTGCAGAAGTTTCATTTATATAGCACCTTCCATGAGCACAACTCATGGTTACGACCCGCACAGTATAGGAAACACAGCAACCATTATGCACACAGACAGCTCCCACAAACAGCAATGTGATTATGACCTGATAATCGGATTTTATATTTTCTCTCTGTGATCTTTGATTGAGGGATAAATATTGGCCAGGGACTGTTTTTCTTTGAAATTGTCCCTTGGATCATGCACAGCCCCTCAGCGACCTGTCAGGGCCTCCTTTTAAAGTCAGCACCTCTGACAGTGCAGCACTCCCTCAGTACTCCTCGTTCTCAGTGTCGTGAGTTCTGGGGAGGGACGTGGAATCCAGGCATTTCTCAATCTGAGGCAGGAGGGTGCTCTGCTAAGCAGTGAGTGACCCACAAAGGCCATCTGTTTCTGAGTTTATGTATGTTTCTGTGCATGTGTGTGTGTGCGCACGCGGGTGTGTGTATGTGTGTGTATATATGTGTGTCTGTATCTGTGTATGTATGTGTCTGTGTGTGTGTCTGCGTGCGTGCGTGTGTGCCTGTGCCTGCGTGTGTGTGTCTGTCTGTGCATGTGTGTGCGTGTCTGTGCCTGCGTGTGTGTGTGTGTCTGTGTGTGTGCATGTGTGTGCGTGTCTGTGCCTGTGTGTCTCTGTGTATCGCTGTGTGTCTGTGTGTGTGTGTGTGTGTGTGTGTGTGTTACGATGCAGCTGAATTGAGGACCTGCAAAAGGCTGTAAAACAATTGGCTCCAAACTCTTATCGAAAGTAGTTATCCAAGCTATAAAAGTGATAAGGCTGTGTGATGAAACCGTGTTGCATCTTTCTGCCA